GTTTTCGTCTACTAGATGTTAGAATGTTTCTTTCAGTAAGACCAGCAGGCGAGTGATACTTGTGTACTTGAATTTACTATTTAGATAGACGGAGGTGTGAGTTGAAGTTCGATGGGTTGTGTTGTAGTGTTCAGTTGACATGATTGCAAATCTCTTGGCAAGATTTCTATGTATCATTCCACAATCTTCAGTAAAGGGCCAGACTGCAAGCATAGAACTATATCTAAAGACATGCGCATGTCCCTGCTCAAGCTTGCATCACTATGAGGGCACTTCCCAGGGTAAGGCATGTAGTTGGAGGGGCAAGACCAAAGGGAAGCTCCACCCCTCCCAGGACAAGGTAGTCATAGTGTGCATGCATGCCGACTGCCTGTTCTTTACCGCCCCACCTGACGCATGCTATACAAGTGTGATGCCAAAGGGCAGGGCCAAAGTAATTTAAATGTGGGGCAAGGCTTAGGAAAGGTTCCTTCCCTCAGGGATAGCAAGCTGCGCTCGGGTGCAGCCCTCCCAGCATGCATGTGCAGGAGGCTGGGGTGAAACACCTATTAAGACTCTGCCCTTAAAAAAGCCTTGCGGGCCACCAACCAATACACATGCGCCGCAGCCCCTCCCGTTCTCACTGTGCATGTGCGCAGGAAGAACCCAAACCCCTGGGATAGGCGTTAGCGCATGCGCAATGACATGAACCCCTGGGGACTATAGAATAGTCAAGTAACCGGTAAGAATTCATGGGGTTAATAGACTATTCAATTAACCGATATTTAACATCCCTAATGGACATCCAATCCATGCAATCTGTAGGTGCATATGTCAGACTATACTTGCTGCTTAAAACCACCTCTAATCTAAATGTCATTTGGTCCTCAATCCTGCCGCTGCTCTGCATGGTTGGGCCCTTATATCATGCAGAGGCCTTTCAGGGCTCATGTCATTGTGTATGCGCTAGCACCTATCCTAGGGGCTTGGGTTCTTCCTGCGTATGCCCTCAGTGGGTACTGCTGTTGTAGGTGGCAGAGGTGCCCTTGTGAGTGTGTGTGTGTGGGTGGGGGGATTCTGAGAGGAGGATTCCTGCTTAGCGCTGCCTGCTGCTCACTTGGCCCCTTTGCCCCCTAGTGGTTGCTGAGTTCAGCCGTGTAAGCAGGGAGCCCCCCTTCCTCGAATTCCCCCCACACACGTAGCCTTCCCCCCTCCTCATGGTAAATTGAAGTAGTTGTCAGGAACCAGACTAGGCCAACCTGAGTATACATCTACCATCACAAAAGGATGGGTAATGCTAGTACAAATAAAGGAGCAGAGGGGGAAGTGATTAGTTGCTAAAGTATGTAGTTTTGTAAGACTTAACTAAGTTACCACGCACTCTGCAATGAAAGGAAATTTAGAGCAAATGGTGCATGATTGACACAGCTATAAAGGCAAATTGCACTTGTTCAATTTGTCAATATCCAAGATACTCAATGAACAAGCTCCCTCTGGTGCACAGATAGGTTCACTGCACGCCTCTCTCAAGGTTGACATTGGGGACGTAATAGTCAAGGGCCACTCAACACGTTGCCCATTTGTTTGCGGCCCGCGGTGCGATTTGGGTTTACGAGGGCTCAACATGCAGTCTGCAGGCAGAATCCTTTGAACGTGGCCTCCACTGGGAACATGCTCCACAACGGCAAGTCAACATAATGGTCTTCTGTTGACATGCATTTTAGTAGATAAATTCCTGGACTGTCATTGCTCATTAAAAGTGCTGTCACATGGGTGGAAATCAGGTAAATATTGCATTTTATTAATACTAGCAAAACTGACTTAAATGGGCCTGCGTGTTGTATAGCATTGCCTTAATCTTTGTATTTATGCCTGTCCATGTGAAAGAAGCTATTTGCATATATATGCAACCTCATATATAAGTTGCGGCCCTTGGCATGTTCCATAGTGGCACCCGGAGCTTCCAAAGTTGAGTAGCCCTGGTAAAGTTGATTACCCTATAAGCAAAAGCTTATCAGTTAATGCAATAGACTACACGCATTTCCCCCCACCCCATCAGTACATTTTTTAGCAGGCTAGCCAGCAGCCCACTTCAGTCCCAGCATGCACCCCATTCGGGACCTACCCCTGCTGTGGCTCTGCATTTAAAGTGTAATAGGAGCTCGGTGGGCAGGCTGGCTCAGTTCTAGCTTGGGCCCGGTCTGGGAGCTCAGCACTCCCCGCAAAGGGGTGCTGCCTCTTATCAGAGGCACAGCAGCACAGGACAATAGGCAGCTGGTCCACAAGTCTGGCCTGGCTCTGGCCCCACTCCCGGGGAGCCCCCTGCCCCCCGCACTGCTGCATCTCTATGAGAGGGAGCAGCGCAGGGGCAGGCAGCCAGTCCGCGGGGGGAGCTGGTTTTTAAATGGGCTCCCCTTGTGGACTAGGTCCCGCCTGGCACCCCACGCTGCTGCCTCTGATACAGAGGCCACAGTGCTGAGTGGTAGGGGACTCCTTCGAAGTGGGGACAGAGTGTGCTGGCTGCCAGCCCCACCCCCGGGGACTATAGAATACAGGCAGTCCCCGGGTTACGTACAAGATAGGGACTGTAGGTTTGTTCTTAAGTTGAATCTGTATGTAAGTCGGAACTGGTGTCCAGATTCAGCCGCTGCTGAAACTGACCACCAGTTCTGACTTACATACAGAATCAACTTAAGAACCCCAGGCGTCCCCAAGTCAGCTGCTGCTGAAACTGATCAGCAGCTGATTCCAGGAAGCCCGGGGCAGAGCAACTCTGC